AGCATCATAGAATGCCAATTTACTAGAAGAAAGTATTCTTGTGTTGAGGGAGTACTTGAGTGGAGGCCCAATGTCCTTCTGCTACCTTAATACCAAACCTATAAATGTAGGCTCATAGATCTATTTCCCCGGAAGGTGGCATTTTATAGTTGGGACAAGTTAATATGATTTTAGAGGAATCCCGTGGGTGGGTGTAAGTGCAAATTGGGAGTTTGGGTGTTCGAACAGTTGCAATTAGAAAATGGAGCTTCTTTAAGCTCAAGGAGACAGATGGGAGTCTGGTGTAGGTGAGGGGAAAGCTAGATGAGGGCGTAAAGAGCGGGGCTGCAGCACCGAAGAAAGGAACTATTAGAACGTTTTATAGGACATACTTGCCGATTGTGAAAGTGTACTTGAGTTCGGATATTGCCCCCAGTTTAAGTTTCATCTCCTCTCCTCGTAAATATCTTTGAAATCTTATCTTTCCCCCTGTCTCTACTGCTGTGGTCTATCTCAAGGCCTTATCTTCTTCACCTGGGTACAGGCCGATGCCCTCTAACAAATCCTTCTGAACTTAACACCGTAAAGGAAAGTTTCATTACTGATGACTCTTGATTTGTCACTACCTGAATGTCCTACATTACACAAGTTTGTCTAATTGTTGTTGTTGGGGGCCATCAAGTAAATTTCAACTTACAGCACCCCCATGAGATATTACAGAACTGCCTGTAGGGTTTTGTAGGCAATAATCTTTACTGAAGTAAAATTACCAGGTCTGTTCTCCTACAGAGCCTGAGTGTGTTCAAACCACCAGCCGTTTGGTTATCAGCCAAGCACTTAGCCTTTGCACCCTTTTTATTTCTTATGCACGTAAATATTACATATGCTTTATACTGTTAATTAGAAATAAGTTTGAGAAACAATATTGTGCCATCTGATGTGGAATCACCAAACCAAAAATAAACCCACGGTCATCGAGCCAATTCTGAGTACTAGCGACCCTCTAGGTAAGGGTCTCCACAGCTGTACATCTGTAGAGGGGCAGACAGCTTCTTCTTACTCCGGAGGAGTAACCTGAGAGTTAGCAATCCAGCACCTGATCCCTAGTGCCATTCTTTTTTTCAACAAAGCTTTGCTAGAGTTCTTTTATTGAAATTTCTGTCACCTGCTTAGTTCCCTAACAAGATAAGGTTATTTGTTTTGTTTTTAACATGCACAGGGATTGTCAGTGGAAACAAGTCGATTTTTCTTGTGGTTGCTCTTAAATATTCCGCTTTTGATTTCTATATTGCCATCCTCCTTTGCTTTCTAAAGTGTTATTTATAATAGTTTAATTACTTGAAATTGTTTCCAAGGAAAAGTTTCCATATTATAACTCAATTTTTTTAAGCCATCTCTTGGTCATGTACATAATAGCACAGAGCCAGCCCATCTTATTGTACAGCACTGTTCCTGTGAGAGACCAGGTGTCACCTCCCCTACCTCCTTGGTCTATATTATTAAGAACAAGTGGAGCAAGGAGGGGGGTGGAGGATTAGATAAATGAAAACAGATCAAAGTGGAAATATTGAGAATATTTACTCATTGTGAAGAATGTCTCCACTCAGTGCCACTAAACAATGTATTGAAATTATTGAATGGAAACCTAAACATAACATTATTTTTAAATCAAATGCTACCAAGTTTAATGTTCATAGATTGGGAAGGCTGTTTGATCATTGCCCTACTTCAGCCGGATTTCTTTCTCATTGTGTTCTTTATCTTTCCCACCTTTCAAAGCCAGATTGGTACTTCTCTGTTACGGTCCTTAGCAGTTAGCATGTAGTTCATAGTAGTAACATTCTGTTAGAATAATGTTCTCCGCGTGTGCGGATTAGGAAATGGAGCCATGTCAGAGTTGTGCCGGTGCGGTTTTGAATGAGGATGTCATGGTGTTGATTTCCTTGCCATTGCGTTGTTTCCTTTGGTCACACTGATTTTTGTATCTCTGCCAACAGGACGATGGAAACAATTAATTTTGATTTATTGCTAAAGACAGATGATGACTGTTACGTAGACTTAGAAGCTGTATTTAATAGAATCACCTACAAAAATCTGGATGGACCTAATTTTTGGTGGGGAAAGTAAGTTAAACATTTTAGTCCATTGGCTTTCATGTACCTGATCAAGTATTACTTAGAATTAAGAGTGTACACTTATTTTGGAATAATTATGTGACATCTCAGGAGCCACTGCAAGAATACAACATGGACCAATGAATTGTATTTTTGTGGATTATATATACACAGGGAGATCTGATATTTTCCATTCAGAGGCTCCACAAATGCACCTGTGAAAGAATTGAATATGCCATTTTTTATATAAAACACACTGGATAAGTGCAGTTCCTTTCCTTAAGTTTCTTCCTTTCTCATTGTCTACAAGCAAATGCCCTGATGCCTTTGCAATGATATTAATGGTAGGATCTGTGCAAGACCAAGAAAAAGAAGCCAAATGATTTTTATTCTCAGTTTCAGATTGAACTGGGCAGTTGACCGGACTGGGAAATGGCAAGAGTTAGAGTATCCGAGTCCTGCTTACCCTGCCTTTGCTTGCGGGTCAGGTTATGTCATCTCCAGAGATATTGTCCACTGGCTGGCAAGCAACTCGGAGAGATTAAAGACCTATCAGGTAAATAAGAATGGTTTTACCTCAGAGTTCATTTATCAAACACGTTTCTCTCAGCTCCGTAGTCTACTAGTGAAAGCAGAGCCAGCTCATTGTAGGACAGCATCTTACTCTTTTTATATCTGGAACTCATCCCTCAACGATTAGGAGCATACTTCCACTAGCCCTCAATTCCTGGCTCTAAATTCTATCCCGCTTTTTTTCCAAGTAGTTTTTTTGCTTATCATTCACATACCATATAATTCAATAGTCAGTAATATCAAGCATTGTAAATCAGCCTTAGAACATTTTGTTCATTCTTTTTTTCTCAAGTTTTATTAGCATATCATACAGTAGTTACGTCATTTCAAGAAAAGTTGTACATCCACCACCATAATCAGTCTTGGGACATTTTCTTCATTCCTATACTCATCTTTATTAGCTCTCCATTTCCCCCCAACTGCCCCTGCCATACCCCCAAGGAACCATTAATTCAGCTACTGTCTCTGTAGATTTACTTATCTTGGACTTCATGTATAGAAAAACATTGGGGAAAAAACCAACAATAATGTGTTAGTCTGGGTACTTTAGAGAAATCCACAGAAACTCATGTGTAAGAGAAAGTTTTATATAAAAGTTAAGTGCACATCAAGAAAACATCCCAACCCAGTGCTGCCCAAGTCCACAAGTCCTCCATCTCACAAAACACACACAATGATGCTGACTGCAGGAGGAAAGCCGAATCAGTGAGCGTGTGAGCATCTCAGCGCTGGCAGGGGTCTCCACACGGCTGCTCCAGCACCCAGGGCTGCATCAGGGTAGGTCCATGTGGCTTCTCCTCGGGGATGTCTTGCAGGAAGTGAGCCTTGCCAGTTGAAGCAGGGAACTGGCTAAGGCAGCTGCACCCTGGTCCAACCATCACAAAGCAAGACCTGAGAACTAGAAAGGCGAGGCTCACCGAGCCATTTATCCCTCCGCCTTTCAATTAACCCCACATGTGTTTATCGGCCAGGTTGGCACAATAAACTACCTCAAATAACAAAGTGAAACAACCTCAAGCAAAAAAAAAGCAGAAAATACTACAAACTAGAGCAGATGTAAAATGGATCATAAGGGAGACAAATGATAAGGTGCTAAGTTTTAACTGTTGTCTGCAGTAATCTGCAATAATCCACTTTCCAGTGGATTTTCTGTGTGATAGCAAAGCTATTCATATTCCTGATCCACAGTCAGAGATTCACCAGCGCCTTAATCCACGTGTTTGTTTTTTTCAAACGGAAACAACTCTAAAATTAGTCAAAAGGGAGATCAAATGATAAGCTATTAAATTTTAACCCAACTACATTTGCCATAATCAGCTTTACAATGCTGATAACAAACAAGCTGTTCATGTCCCTCAACTTCCAGCCTACAGGTAATTGCAAGTAGAATCACTGGGACGAAGCACAGGGCTATCAACTTAACTTAGGGATGATCTCCTCATTTCATGGTGGTATGTGTGTATGTTAACAGCATCAGTACCTTTGTGTTAAGTTGAATCTACTTTGGCATTTCTTATAAGAATAATTACAAAACATTTATTACGGGATGTGGTGGGTGTGGTGTTGTCTTTATAAATGAAATAGCATTTAAATGTTGATATTTAAACTTTATGGGGCATGTATAGGGTGAAGATGTAAGCATGGGCATTTGGATGGCAGCTATAGGACCTAAAAGATACCAGGTAAGCAAGCTGGGGTGGGGAGGCTTGCCTCAGGATTGAGGAAGTGAAGCGTTCTACCTAATCTAGCAAACCATGAGCAGAAAGAATAAATTTAGGCTCTTCTAGCACCTTATCTATGTTCTTGATCTAATTGTAATCATCTACTTGGATTAATTATCTCTCACATTATGTGTATGAGTTTAAACAAAGAAAACCATTTGATAGATATTTCCTACCCACAAAGTTTTCATATATTTGATCAGAAACACTTTACAACCTAAAAACTTACTAAGAAATGAATTCACCCAAGTTTCAGGCAGTATGCCATCTAAGACTTGTTGTATAAATAATAGGTACACTATTGTAAAACAGCTGTTAAAAACTGTTGATTGCTGAGCCAAAAAGAAATATGCAGAGACCAAAACTGGAAAGTGGAAGCTCTGCCACAAAGCCAAAGCTTGCTTTTGCCTTGTGTTTCTGATGAAGTTTGAACTCTTTCAACTTCCACTTGGGCATAAGATAGAATGCCACCCCAGTGGAACTCTATAGAGCTTGGACCACAAAGCTGTTTGCTCTCAGTTTAAGGATGAACAAGAAATAAACCCAAACCTACTCGGTTGGCTTTGATGGTTTTAATCTTAGGGGCTATTTTTAATTAACTTTCTTTTAAATTGAGTATAATTGCAGTATCTGCAGATGATTCCATAGTTTGTTCATACTGACTTATTAATGGCGCACAATGGAGGTTGTTTACTGACCTGCCCTTTTTATTTAGTTTAACTTGAGGCTTGTCTTTAGATGCATTCCTACAGAGAGGATTTTCGTGGGTCTTCTCCATGTCCTTAAGTGCAGTAGCATCTGTGAGCGTTCATCCTTCCCTGGCTTGGGCCTTGAAGCTCCATGGGATGAAACAACTGCTCCAAGTCTACCCTTAGTGCAGGAAACATCTCTATTCCACCCAGACCAGCCTCCTCTCATAGTTCCGTTCTCTTGCACACCAACTGCGGGTATCAATTTCCTGAGGTCCCGACTCTGTGGGAGATTGGTCAGGCCTGGCCTCCTGCAGCCCAGAGAGCTACAGATGTCCTCAAGACACTTGTGGTTTCAGCACCTCCCCGGGCCCGTTTCTTTTCCTTTTAGCTATGCATTAAAAAGGTACTTCCAGTTTTGTCTAGCATTTTTATGTTCTTTATGTAGGGTTGCTCTCAGTATCACCTCAGTGGCAGCAGTGGGTTGGTTTTGGGTTTTAGACCCAATTTCCAGCATCCCTGCATTCTGCAAGTTACTTAGTGGTGATTTCTCTCAGCCGGTTTCTCATCGGTAAAAGGGACATAATTCCTGGCTCACGGGGTTGTTGTGAGAATGAAATGGGGTACAGGTATACCTTGGTTGTTGTGCTCAATTTGTTCCAAATTCGTGTTTGAACACTAAAAAGTTTGAGAAATGAACATATTTTCCCATAAGAAATAATGGAAAACCAAATGATTGGTTCTGAGCCCAAATATTATACTTAAAAATTCATTTTCCCAGGACATTAAGTCACTATGGAGGCTTTTAACCTTCATAAATATCACTCTAGGGTATGGTATCGCCATCAAGTTACTTATCCAAATTAACAGTAACTTTTCAGCTTCTTCGATGGTCTGCATTCTTTGTCCCATGGTTAATAATTTCACACTTTTTACTACATTAGCCACTTTAATCACTTTTGCCCCCCCCAAAAAAAAAACAAACAAACATAATGACATCAACTTGGCCAAATCAGACAAGTGGTGACCTAATTCAAATTTCACAATGATTTCTTTCTTTAACTCTCATAGTTCTGTTTTCCTCTTAGCTTTACTAACATTCTTTTGAGCTATGGTTACGATATTTTATGCAAATAAAGTGCAACAAAAGCCACACTGATGAATGTTTTAATGCACTAAGGCAAACACTATGTTGTCTGAGAGCAGCACTTGGACTGCAGTGTGGCATCACCCCTTTGTGTCCCAGGCAAGATGGAACAAGTGACTCACTCTCAGCCCTTACACGGTGTTTTCAAGTTGAACTTTCAATTTCCCCATCAAGCAAAGTTATGAACACTGAGGAGATTTTTTTCACACAACTTTGCTGTTCGAGTAATGGGAAATTCCAGCGTGAAGCCATCGGACAACCGGGCTTTCACCATATTTATCAAGCACTCGGTATAGTCCTTACAGCCTTCCACTAGAATGGTTGCTGCTGCTGTTAGTAATTCTAGAAAATACAGAACAAATTTTAAACATCAGTAAGACCTATTTCTGTATTAGGTGTTGAGCCAAGTTATACTAAAAACATGTATCATTCGGCAGTTTTATACAGCTCTACAGCTTTCATTTGTGATCCCCAAAATCCGTTTAGAGTCCTATTTGCCAACCCTTAATCCATACACACTTATTTCTGTTTTACACAACCACTCGGTACTCCCAGAATCACAAGTGCCACTCCATAAACTTCAAGTAGGTTAACATGTACTTTAACTGGGTTGTCTTTGAAATCAGTTTAGCTTTACTAGAATATAAAAGTTGCCTATATGCATGTATCTCTTACACAATTTCCTGTAACTGTCAACCACGTTTGGTTTTGTCTTTAACAGGACAGCCTCTGGCTGTGTGAGAAGACTTGTGAAACTGGGATGTTGTCTTCCCCTCAGTATACTCCGCAGGAACTCACAGAACTGTGGGAACTGAAAGAACTGTGCAGTGACCCTTGTAAATGTGAAGCAAGATGATATTGTTAATTATCAGTCTTTAAACAACAGTACAAGGCATGTAATAATAACAGTAAGTATGAGGAGAGTCTGAGGTTATGTGCCCTTCAGGATAGTTCTAGACAGTCACCTGTTAATGAATGTGGGATTTAATATTTGCACAAAATTGCCTCTTTAAAAATCAACTGGTACTATAGCATAAGATGAAGTCTTGTGTATATATTGGAAGATCTGAAAAGTACCCAATTGTTTATAAAAGAAAAAATTATAAATCCTAACGCATTGTTTCTAACAATTTATCAGTACCTATCAGTTATTATTAAAATTTGGCTACTTAAAAATTCTGTAGTAGTAACTGAGTATTTGAATTTCAACCTGGAATGAAGAATAGCTCTGTAGAGTATATGAGGGTCTTTAAAGGACAAAGAGAGCTCTCAAATGCTCTGTGATCAGCTGATTATGTACACTAGTCTCTTAAACCAAAGTTTGCGAATTTTTGAAAATGTCAGGTTTGATGGGTCTCTGAATGAAGTAGGCAACTTAAAAGAAATTGATGTAATTCTGTTTGAGACCTTGGTTTTAAAGAGGTTCGTTTGTTAAATGGGCTTCTATCCAAGATATCTTTTGCCATTTTACGTAGATGCTGAAGCTCATGGTTGAGTTCTAGAAAGAAGTTAAATATGAGTGAATATGAGTAAAAGTAAACAATTCTCAGGGGTTTTGTTCCATTGGTGAGGATACGTCTAAGTAACTGATATTTTGTAAGAATTTGTTTTGCTTTCCTTTGATCACTGCCCATTGTTTACCTAATTTATGTGAATATCGATCCAAGATGGTAATCTGTAAAAGAATATATGCCAAGTTTAACTATAGGGAAAAGCATGTGATTAATTTTTTAAGTACTATAAATGTAGGACAATTAACAAGAGCTATAATAGCATCTATGTTAAAAATAATAGAAGATGTGCATCCCTAAGTTTAAGGGACCAACCAAATAATTTTAGTAACCTTTTAAAATAGCAGTTTTAATAGAGAATTCCATTAAAACTAGTCTTTGGCAGACATTAACTGTATTCAGATTATATTAGGCTAGTTTCTATTGAATATTTAAATCCTTACAGGATGAGATGGAGTGATGAATTATAAAATAAGAAAATCATTAGTAGGTACAAAGTTTTTATTATTTATAGTGTTATATACAAACCTGGAAATGGTCTCTTTCCAATGAAAAATCAACCTTTTCTATATTAGGGCAAGTTGTTAAAACCCTATATCGATCTATATATCTATCTATATTTTTGTTGTGGTGGTGGTGGTGGTTGACAGAACGGTTTCAATAAATTCTCTCCGGGTAACTCCAGGCACAATAAACAGTCTGGTCTCTGAATTTTATTAGTTGGCTTTTACCAGCGTACTAACAGATAATCTCCATTTTCCACAGAATAAAACTGTAGTGACTGTTGGTTATTTTCTAGTTCAATTTCTCTGCCTGGCATCTAAAAGTTAAAAAAAAAAAGAAAGAAAGAAAGAATGAAGAAGAATTAGTGGAGTTGAGCCAGATCTGCCAAAACATGTCATAAAGTAAGTAATCTTAGAACCAACGAAAAGATATATAGTCACGATTTAGAATCAAAGTGCTATTTATACACTTGTAATTTAATAGCATGTCATACTTTGTAGAACTATGTTTGACTTTGTATTTTGCTGGGCAACTTACTCTGGGACTTTCATAGGACAACAGAAGTTCAGACACAGGAACTTTTAGAAGACGTGACAGTAGTCCTTTCACCTTTTGAATTGTCATGGAATCTATTTTAAGAAAAGAAGATCTATCAGTTATTTCAGATTATAGTTGACCTGTATAAAAGTTCGCATGACAAGAATGCAATAGTTATTTGTCATTTCATTGTACTGATTTATCCAAATAAATAAATAGGGAATGGTTCACCTATTGAGTGGACCACACATCCATTTAACATCACTTACTTTAGTTACTTGCTAAGATGTGGGAAACAAGCCATTATTTTTACCTAAGTGCCATTCGGTAACACTTCGTGCCATTTCAGTTGTATTTAATATTTATTACTTAACTCAACCAGAAATAATATATTCTCAGCACAGTGCAATAAATGTGTGAAGTCATTTGCCTTTCTTGTGAAGCCTTTGTGATTACTTAGAAATTACTTCGAGAGCACGGGACATGGTATCCTGATGAAGTCTCTTAACCTTTCTGGCCTGACTTGCATCTATAAAACGAAGAAGGGACAGTAAATGATCCACAAGATCCCTTCTGGCACTGCCATCTGTGACTATTACAGTGTATATTGTATTCAGCTCATACAAAAATGACTTCTAGGCATGGGAATGTAACTTAAATGAATAAATGCCTTCCCCCCCCCCCCCAGAAAATATTATGAACTTCTTTCCAAAGACAGGTTGTAGTAAACATTGGATTGGGGGTTATGAAAAATAGTTTCTCTGATGCTTTAGTTTGAGCTGCAGCAATAGCATGGTGTTCCTTACAAATATCACAATGTATTCAAACAAATATTTTTCTATCAAAATCATTTTTGTATAAGTTGTCAGTGTTTTTATGCAACTTATAATAAAGGTTACATTTATTTTAGAATAAAAATTGACTTTTCTTATTTATGTATTGAATACAGATATTTCATAAATATTTTAATGGCATTTTACGCTTTTATGCATGGATATGTGATAGATGATTTCTTTCAAAAGATTTAGGTGCACTGGTTTTCATTGTTTAAAGGGTATAACATGGTTTACTTTCTGCACACTTAGGTGGAACAATGACACGATTTAACTCATACTAGAAACAGAAACAAAGTTTCATCATAAGACAATTACAAGAAATCAGCCCACTTGCACTATTGTCTATAAAGAAAGTGGAAGCATTTTGCATATACTAATAACATTAGCATCTTTAACACAGGATAAATTCAGAAAATATGAATGAAAAATTATTTTACCTTCCTCTAACCAATGTCTAAATATGAGTGGGTACATTTTAGGCTTTATTCTATGCTTATATAAGCATACATGGGCATCAATATTACATATTGGTCTGCAAATTTGTATTAAATGATGGTACTGATTTTTAAGACCCTTTCTCTAGACTACACTATTCAATATGGCAGCCATATGTGACTATCGAGCCCCTGAAACGTGGCTCCTCTGAAGAAGCTGAAATTTAAAATGTTATTTCATTTTAACCAACTTAAGTCCCCAGTGTTGCTAGTGGACGCTCTAGATCTACTGTATTCTCCATCATAGAGTATGACTCCACCAGAATTATCCAGCCATTTCCCACTGTTAAACAGGTCGTTTTTATCTTTGTCAGGTGACAAGACAGAATATTTGCTCGGGGTATATATGTATTCTCTATTTTTGCAGAATTTACCAATTGACTGTATAAAAAGGTTGTATCAATTTCTCATTTCAGCTTTGGATATGATAATTTTCTTCATATTTTGCTAATCTGATGAGCAAAAATATGTATATGCAAATGGCACTGCAATATTTTACATTTCTCCTCTTCCTCTTAAAGGATATTTTCCTATTTTAGTAGTTAGATATTTATAGCCTGTAGCTTAAGAATTAATAGATAGGATGTTCCTAATCTACTGGTTTACTGGTGAGTTAATAGAATATAGGACTCATATTCTAAGCTGAGTAAGTGGTAATTACATGTAGTTTCTGTGAGTGATTCTAATCTCAGCTAATAAAAATCAGAATAGGAATCAAATACAAAATGGAAAATTTAATCTAAAAGAACTACAACAGCAGGCAGTTTCAAAGACAGGTGGCAGGTACACATCACCAGCAGGCTAGAACTGCATTCACGGACACACAGACTATGTACAGCCCTTAACTGATGGTATCCCAGGGCCTTTTTTAAGAAGGTCGAAAAAGGAAAGTGTAACATTTCATTGTCAATGTCTTAAATATTTCTTGGTAGTAGGTAACATCCCTCATAAATTGATTTGATGTATATCTGAGAAGTGCAAGGGAAAATACAAGTACATTCAGAGCCAATTATAAGGAAATTCCAGCCTTTTTGTACTTGTCTGTTCCTGTGAGAAGTACCTCCACTGGCAGCATTTTTGAAAACAGGATAACATAACACTTCATAATGTAACGAACAAAATGACATGTCAATTTAGAATGGAATTTAGATTGCTAGTAAGTAAAAATGGAGAAATACTGGTAAACTGAATCCAGAGAGATAAGGTTGTCAATCAGAAAGATACTTCATGAAGCACAATGAAGGCTTTTCATAAACAAGATCTTGATAGTTTAAAATCTATATAAATTTAATGCACTGATAGGCAGACAAATAGTTTGTTAGCCATTTAGAATATATTTTTCTTCAAATCCTCATAAATCCAATTTAACCAGCTTATATTTTAATTTATCTATGACTCACTCTTTTACCTTTAGAAGTCACAGCATCACACTTATTAAAAACACTAGATTATTAATATTTAATCCATTGAGTTGTGTATGTGAATTATATGTCAATAAAACTGTTAAGACAATAGGTTAATTTTTCTTTTGAATGAAAATTTAAGGTAAATTATGTTGACCTATTTGTGTTCACACCAAAGTATTTGCTTTCTCAATAAAGCTAAGTTCTGGTATAAAAAGAAAACTAAAACCAATCCTATTGCCATTCACTCTATTTTAACCTGTAGCTACCCTGTAGAACAGAGGTGAGGTTCCACCGAGGGTTACCAAGGCTGTAATTTTTAGGGACAATGATGGCCACATCTTTCTCCCAGAACTTGGAACACTGACCTGTGAGTTAGCAGCCAACCACTTTATGATTGCTACTAGGGCTCCAATTCCCGGACTGTATATATTCAAATAAAGTCCTGAAGTCGTCTTTTGTTTCCCCCAGAGAAAACAATTTCTGTGTGGCCACAAAATAACAGTGGCTGAGAGCTGTTTCAGCAGTAACTCTGGGCTGTCAGGAAGCCCCACGTGGACATACTCCAAACCTAATATGACCATCTATGAGAAAGCGCAGCAGTGGGATTGGAGAATTCCTTTTAAAAATTAAGCTATGCTCATAAACAAAGGCTTCACATTTTAATATAAGCTATTTTATAAATGAGCTGACAAAATTGAGACATTTGAACTTTGGGGGGATGAGTGATGTTAACATGACTGCATTTTACAAAAGACTAGTGAATACCCATAAGCTAGTAAAGTCTTTCAGATATGAATTAAGTATTTAAACAGCTCATACCTAGGCCATCAAATAGGATAGGCTCATTCTTCTTACCTGGTAATTGTTTCTCTATGACTTTTTGATCCAGTTGATTAGGATATTTTATATTCAGCTCTTTGAAGGAAACAATGAAAAAGATTAATTGATTGGGGAACAACTTAGTTGGCAAAATGTAATTCACAAAGATGATTCTTCATCGTAGATTGAAGAGTAGCATCTCGGATCTTAAAAGGTTGCAAGTGTCCATGTAAGATACAAATATTTGTATTGGTCTCTGCTCATACAGAGCAAAAGAGAATAAAGGTAATCAAAGGCTCCAAGAAAAACTCATGCCCAGGGCTAATGATCCACATGAAGCACCACCTTCTCCCACTTGAACTACATAGTGTCATGCTACCATGTGGAGCGTTGTGACCAACGTCCCAATAGGCTCTGGATAGAACAGAAGAATAAAGAATGTAGAAAACTCAAATCCTACAAACGACCAGACTTTCTGAAACCACATAGAGCTGAGGTTCTCAAACTTGGCTAACCACTGGAATCACTTGGGGATCCAGTGAAATTACAGATCCCTCGTTCCATGATGGTTATACCTTGGACTGCATTTCCAAACCACTGCTGCTCCAAAGAAAGATGAGGCTTTCTACTCACGTAAGAGTCAACAGTCTCGGAAACTCACGGGGACAGTTCTACCCTGCCCTATAGGGTGGGTATGAGTTGGCACTGACTCAATAGCAATGGGTTTGGAGATTTGGGGCACCTTTGCAATCTAATGAGTCAATATCTCTAGCGGGGAGGAGCCAAAGTGTGTAGTTTCACCCTCTCCCCTGATGAAGGGGGTTCCAATGACCAACCGGAAGTTTGGGCACCTAGAGACTAAAGCAGGGGTCAACAAACTGGCTCGAGAGCTCTATGTGGCTCTTTTGGTATGTACATGAAGTAAAACTGAAAAATTTTAAGGGATATTATTCAGAAAATTGTAATTTCATTTGTAAAAATACATTTATGGCTCTCATTTTTTAAGTTGTGAGGGACAGGATTTGGCTATTCCATCTCAAAAGTTTGCCAACCCCCATTCCCCCAAATAAAAGTTTGCCAACCCCTGGACTAGAACCTTCAAGATCATTGCCCTAAAATAACCTTTGAAGCTTTTTCTGTAAGCCAAGTCACCTGAGAGTAGTGTGCTCCTTAAATTAATTAAGTACATGAAACTAGAGAGTCAACATTCATCCAAAAGCAAAGATGAAAAGGCAAGCAGGGGAACAAAAGTTACATCAATGGAAACAAAGCAGAAATCATGGGAATGCTGAAAAACTAAAAATTATAACCAATGGCACATAATTTTATTAAGAATGGTTAAATTTATAAGAATGTGCAATATGAATTTTAACCTACACCCAACTTATACACATATACACACAAATATATTTTAAGCTGATTGAGTTTGAGGTATGCAAAGGACCAATGCAATAAATTAATTTTAAAGTATGTGTCAGACTCTTGTCAGTGTACTTCTTAGGGTGTCTCCAGGCCTTAAATGTCCTAACTTGCTGCCATCAAGTCAATGCTGACTCATAGCGACCCCTGCAGGTTTCCACGACTAACTATTGACAGGAGTAGAAAGCCAGTCTTTCTCCCATGGAGCTGCTGGTGGTTTTGAAATGCCAACCATGCAACTGCAGCCCAACTCAACCACTACACTACCAGGGCTTTCTAAATGTCCTAACAGGTATTCAATGGGTAACTACATATAGGAAAATGTGTTTTAATATAATTGTACTTCACGTTAAGTATCCTTTGTTTAATTTTCCATGTGACCTGATTTGTAGTGTCATTTTAATGCATGCATTGACTCAGCTTATCCAGTGTATTACTGTATTGTGTTACTATATATTTCTGAGTGATGCACACAAATGTGTAAAAGATCAATTTTAATGGTTGAAAAAAAAGGTTGACACTTTTTAAATTCAAGGACTTAAATTACACATGGTGACTCCATGTATTGCCAAATAATACCTTTGTTCAGTATAACTTGGCTTAAACCTTAATAGATGTTATTAATGTTTAAGATACCTTCTGTTGATACTTATTAGAATTACTAATAAAAACAAAAGCAAGTAACTGAACCAACATTCTGTAGCTTGTCTGACAATTTAACCATGCTTTCAAATGATATAGAGTACAAGTTCCCAAGCAATTCACAATTCATTTCACTACTCAAATAAGCCCTGTATTTATAACACTATTAAATGAGTTTATAAAGCATGAGAGTTGCCAAATGCTCAATACAAGAATTTGGATTTGTTTGCGAATTCATTAGCATGTATCTAAAAATCAAAGCCTTTAAGAAAAACAAATTTAATCCCTATTAGGTCCTCAACTATCTGTTTCAGCACCTAAGCACTTGAATACAAAGGGACTGGGTTTGACTGGCGTTCTTACTTAGTAGTTGATTTTTAAGCATAAATGGTTGTTGTGTTTTGAGTTCCCCATCTTCAGGTGCACCATATTCTGTATAAGAAGAGATAATAAAGGATAAGTAAGTGAAAAGGCACTGTACGAAAACAACTTTTATAGCTAAGTGCCAACACAGTCTCTCACGTGATAAGCCTCACAGCAGCTAGTATGCTAACCAGGGTTATGCTTTCCTTTTATGTAGCTGCTTTATTCTTTATCTCTTTGTTGGCTTTGCTTGTATTTTTAGGAGGCGTGAACAACAATCATCTATACAGGCAGAATCTCCCATAACGTGTGTATTACATTATTGTTCTCAAAAACTGTCTTGACTTAAACTAGAAAGAGGAGGCTGTAACAAATACATAAAACACCTGTTTCAGTTTCTCTTTGGGGACAGTTCCCTTCATCCCTTGTTTAGGATCTAATTCACAGAACACCTCCACCAAGTTCTAAGCACACTGCAGTGCTAAGCTGGGCACTCAACACTACTGATGTCAACCAGCACCCCCACCCCACCCCAAAATAACCTGTGTAGAAGGATGTAAGGAATCCAGCATTTTTCTTTTGCTCTAACATCTGCTAAACAATCTGGGGCAAAATTTCTCTAACTTCCCCAAGAGTGTGTGCCTTTGTCCTTGGGTACTTTCACTGAAAAACTGAGACATGCCTGAAGGACTACTTGTTTTTTTGGGGGGATGCCTGAAGGACTACTTGTTTTTTGGGGGGGGGGGCCAGATTCCTGCCCTGCACTAGCCACCCCTCACCACCCTCACCCTCACATACCCACCAGGTGATTTAGAATTCATCTAAAGTGGCCAGGAAATGGAGCCAGCTAATAGAGTAATCTGAAAGCAATTCCCACAAGCAGCTTTCCTTCCTCAAAGATAATGTCCCAGTCTGAAACATGTATGCAGTGAGCTGTATGCATAGGAAATATATAAAGGAAAATCTCATAAGTGAAATTCGGAATAATGAAGTTAAAAAAAAATGCAAAGTACATCAGGGACAATGAATCATGACATCTGGGCTTCAACGCCTATGGAAGCTGGTGGAGGCTTTGAGGAACCCCCCTGCATACCAAGTGCCTGAACTTTCAGATGTTACACAGAGTCAGCTCACAAAACAGTGATTGGGGAAATGGCCTTCCCTTGGGTTCTCTTGAGACACTAGATTTGTGTGGGGAGCATTAAAAAATACAACTACCACCTCCAACCTGGCTATTTTTAAAAATTACCTAGGTTGCAGCCAGAGTGGGTTAAATCTGAGTATATCCTCCCCTTCCTAAAGGATGGAGTGGTGCACACCCACCTCCCTGAATCTAAAGTATGTTGAGTATGTGCAAAGATTTAAGAGCTGCTTTCCCCTTCCCAAATACAAATCTCTCGCTCAGAAACCTCAGCAGAATTCCACGAATCCTTCTGCTGGGAAACTGCTGACTTACCTTCTCTGAGGGGAACTTTTAAAATCCTCTCTCCCAACTTACTGCAATAGTATTAGGATGAGTACAAACATCACAATGAAAAGAGAAAATCGGCAACAAGGAACAGTTCCTTTGATACCCAACGGAAACAGTGTGTTCCAGTTGAAAGTCCATCAAAAGAAGATGCTAGATGCTTTACTTACTAAGACAGAGGAATTGGTATCTAGGATGAGCTGCAAGAAATTCTTCATTTGGTCTATTTTTATCTGGATTTTGGTGTCCACCAGCTTTTTTCCATTCATTTCCAAAAGCTTTCCGGTAATCAAGCTCAGCTCCACGTCTCTCCTCTGGGAAAATCTATATTGATGTGAAATGAAAATAAATACAAGAAGGCACTTTCTTAATGAGTTGTTTTATGTCTTGCACACCTCACTCTAATCCTTTCACTGCCCTCCCCAAAGATCATTAAGTTGAAGGGGACAAGGTGATATTTATACTTTTCACCTTATCTTTTTTTAACACTGATAATTCAGGAGTTTATTCAAAAATAACAAATAACTTTTATTTTATGCTTCTCTCTTTGAGACTCGTTACCCATAAGCCATTTTCTACACTCTTCCCAATGCTTAAATTCCCTGAGTCAGCCAACAAAGGATCTAAGAGAAGCTGATTTGTAACAAGCAAACAACACCAAAGTGCTAGCAAATCATGGCCTTCCAATGTTATGAGGAGTGGCTGAGGTATAACGGATAAATAGGCTTTGTGGTTTGTCTTCTTTCTGCCTACATTCCCCTCAAGAAACAGAAGATTTTTCCCATTACCAAATAATAGTAAATACGGCTACACCGCAGGTCAGCACCAGGCTTTTCCTATTTTGACCAAAGAAACTTAATAGTGCCTCCTTCATAAGGAGTCAGAAAAAAACATTATTCCTAAGACATACAAAGATAGTACTTTTATCATTTGGATGGAAGTCACATCTAGTACTCTTTACAAGATTCATAAATTCTGTTTCTACTCATTCGGAGCGTAAAATCCATTTTTTTGTAAATCATTTTATTGGGGGCTCGTACAACTCTAATCACAATCCATACATACATCCATTGTGTCCAAGCACATTTGTACATTTGTAGCCATCATTCTCAAAACATTTGCTTTCTACTTGAGCCCTTGGTATTAGCTCATTTTCCCCTGCCTCTCCGCTCCCCTCTCCCCCATGAACCCTTGATAATTTATAAATTATTAATGTTTTGTCATATCTTACACCATCCCACGTCTCCCTTCACCCATTTCACTGTCCATCCCCCAGGGAGGAGGTTATATGTAGATCCTTGTAATCTGTTCCTCCTTTCTCCCTCACCTTCCCTCCACCCACCTGGTCTCGCCATGCTCACCCCTGGTCTGAGGGGCTCATCTGTCCTGGATTCCCACTCACCTCACATTTGTTCAGGGTCTTCAGCTGGCCGATTTTGGCAATGATGAGTTGGCGCACAGTCTGGGCGTCTTTGTCTCCTTCAGTCAGCGGGTTTCTCAGGCAGGACAAGGAGTGCAACCTCTGCAACTTATCGAGCTCGTTCATGAAAGACCACTGCGGTTTAAACGACAAACCAACATGTTGCAGGTGACTGCTTTCCTCGGGTTATCTGCACTAGCAACAAAAAGCAACAAGTCCCTATTTGACCTGAAAAGCACTGAGCTTGCTATGCACAAGGGCTCATAATAATCACATAATTTTATTGTATACTTGAGCCATTTAAATTGGCAAGCAGTCTGCTTAAGTGTGGACTACTTAATATTTTTTGGATTTATATGAAGAGTTTCATTCTGAGGAAGGGTTGCTCTTTCATTTGAAATCATTTTTAAAAAATCATTTTATTGGGGGCTCATAGAGCTCTTATCACAATACATGCATGCATCCAGTGTCCAGCACATTTGTACATTTGTTGCCATCATTTCATTTGGAATCTTTTGAAGCAGGAGGAGGAACCTACAAGCTCCATGATAAAAGAGGAACTAGGCAATGATACACTATGCTGCATTCTGAAAAAGCTCTTACTTGTGATATCTGGTTGTCATTTACTACAAGATACTGCAAGGAAGGAAACATCAATGTTTTGCACCCTAGAAAACAAAATTATGTTACACTGTAGACATTTAAGAAACACCTACACGCATATACACTCCCATGATTATGACATCACTGTTCACGTTGGAAACAACCCAAATGCCCACAAGTAGAGGAATGGATAAAGAAACTAGTATATAATATGCATTGCTAAAATAATAAAACATCTCATGACATGGATGGACCAGCAGAACAATATGCTGAGTGACACCAGACAATCACAAAGGACAAATGTTGTACGAGACCACTATTACATGGGTAAAAAGCAGTCAAAGACATGCGTAGCAAAGGAGGTTCCCCAAGTGAGGGAAGGCACAGGTGGGAAGATGAAGCAACAGACTAGCACGCTGACAGCTGTGGCTTGCATGAAAGAGGATGACGGTCCATAGAGAAGAGAGATTGTGGCGGAGCAGGGAGAAGAGACAGAATATGGGAGTTGGGGTTGGTGAGTGGTGTGAACTGTTGAATGCAAAGTTGATGATCATCTGAAATATAAACCCCTACCTAATTCACTTAGAAAATATACAGTAGCTAAAATATTAGGGAAATACTTGAAACAATTTTATATTACCAATTCCAGCATCCGGAAAATGTATAGAAGACAGTCCGGTGTCAGAGAGGATTAGTTGTTCTAATCTGAAATTAAGAAATGCAAGTTTTATTAAATATAGCAATATAAAATGCTATAGGCTATGAACCAGGTTTATTTTAAAGTATTTTTTCCCTATATTTAGGGATTTTTATCTCATTAAATGCTTAAAACCCATAATATCCATTTTAAGGCATGCAATGTGGGCTCTTTATACTATAGCTATCCTATATTCTAATGATTCTACAGTCATCTAACAAGTGCTAGTTAACTGGCTTCTTACGAGGGAAGGGGAAACAAGGGGGGGGGAGAGACATGGTCCTATAATCCTAAAGTTTAATTAATAGAGAAAATAGGATGTAGAACTATGTTTTAAAGGATGGAATGATAGATCAGAGAGCAGGAGACCTGCATGACAAAAAGTATGTGCAGAGAAAGAGGATGAAGATGTCACTGTGCACAGGGCATGTGTCTTTTAGGGTTGAGCCTTGTCAAGTGAAGAGGGAAGGGTCTAGAAAAAGAGAATGATAAGAACAGAGACATGGGGACGGAAGAGCCCAGTTCTACAAACAGAAATGGAAAGGAGTCTAGTTTGGTAGAAATACAGGGTTCATAAAAGGCACTCTGAGGCCACATCATAAGACTTCAATACAAGCTGTATCTCCCAGGCAATACACAGAAGCATATTGTGAACGGAAAAGTGACGGAGCTGACCTCAAGCAAGTGGCAGAGTGGAAAGAGGGAACCGGAGGCAGAAATTCTAACAAAAGTATAGGTAGAGGGATCAAGCATTTCAGGAAACTAATCTAAAGGACTCAGATGCTATAAGGATGTACAGGCAATGAAAAAAAACCTTAAATTGACAAAAACTGATAGTGCTTGTAATCAAAATAGACACAGCACTAGAATCTAGTCCAACTATAGTTAAGGGGAGGGGTAAATTATTTGGGTTTGGGTGGATTTGGGATACCAAGCAGAGCATTAATGTTAAGCTGCCTAGCAGGCATTTAGAAACTTGGGTCAGAAGAGAAATAAGAACTAGAGCTATAAATCTGATATCATTTACATGGAAACAAAAAAATCTATGGCCCAAGATCTAGAAACGAAAGAACCAAGAAAAGATAGTCATAGGAAGATGCAGATAAATAAGCACATTAGAAGAAAACTGGTAGAAGGTCAAGAAAAGAGTTTTAGAGGAAAAACTAGATAACCGTATAAAACATGGACTTTAAATAAGACAATGACAATCGGGTTTATCTGTGGCCTTTTCATAACAGGGTAGTGATGGTAGAAACAGCTGGAGAATGAAAATGGGACACCAGTGAGAAAACAGTGATCTGAATCCATAGTTTCGGAAGTTTAGCAGTGAAAGATGGAGCAGATAAGGTAAGAGCTCACCAGTATGGCAGGGGAAAGGAAAGTAGTTTGAGAAATAGAATACATTTAAGCAGAGAGCAAAGAACCAGTAGAGAAAAAAAGCAATCACAGATAAAAGGGAGAAAAGGTATCCACAAGGGCCTAATATTCAGAACTATTACAATTAACAATAAAAAGACAAATAATTCAATTTTAAAATGAGCAAAGGGTCTGACATGTCTTCAAGGAAGATACATAAATAATCAATATACATAAAAAATGCTTAGGAGTAAAATTACCTGGGCAGATAGGCTATTAGAAATAGCTGATTTTCATCAATTAATTGATTACCCGAAAGGTCTAATAACTTGACCATTAGTAGCACATCAGTTGGCCTGTGTGGAAAATGTAATTTTTCAACATGAATTTATTATTTTTTTCAAAAATAATTTCATATGCCTGTATATAAGTGAAATCATTCTTATTGATAAGATTTAATATAAAAATATTTAATATCATTTGATTTTAATTTTGAGAATTTGTAATAAATATAGCCACACTTAAGTTTAATGAACAATAACTAAATTATATTAACAAAAGAGAGATGAGTCAACAATATAATTACAAGGTCAAGTTTTTACATATACTTGGTATACTGACCTTAGACAATGCTAATTAAAAATTCAAGATTTCATTGTTATAGCATATTCTGTAGAATATCCATTTAGAAACAATAGTGATTATTTATTTATCTAAAACAAATCAAATTTCAACAATATTTAAGTCTGAAATTTCAATCTGATTAATTTTTCTTTGATTAGAATCAATTAGATATGTTAAAGTTTACATTCTAATTTTTGAAGACTATAAGAATCATTTCTTAAAATTCTTATTTGCAAATACTATAAAAATGAATGTTCGGTATAATTGTAGCCACTTATTTATCCAAAATAACTGATGGGTGCTTCTTAGTAAGCACCTCTTACCTTTCTGAAATGAAAATATCGTCGGATTCAAGGTAAAGTTCCTCAAGGACTGGCCACCCACGGGCACACAGGAGCACCTAGGAAAAGTATCGGCCTCTGTTGACTGCTTCTTCTTATGTCTTTACTACCATAACCTCCAAATAAATTCAGTTTAATTACTGTTTAGAAATAAAGTACCTCATAGAAATCTCATTGCAGATTCTAGCTCAGGAAAAGGTGTGTTTGGTGAGAAGGTGATAAAATCTTAAAGGGCCACATTAAAAAAAATCATTTTAGTGGGGGCTCTTATAGCTCTTATAACAGTCCATACATCAACTGTATCAAGTAAATTTGTACATATGTCCCATCACTATTTTCCAAACATTCACCATCTATTTGAGCCCTTAGGGTCAGCTCTTTTTTCCGTCCCTCCACCCACCTGGTGACCCCTTGATAAGTTTTAAATTATTATAATTATTTTCATATCTTACATCATCCGCTCTCTTCCTTACCCAACAGTTACTGTTGAAAGGGACACATTTATAAGAGATTGTTTTTATTTTATATTATTTGCTTAATCAAGGAAATTGGTGTTAAGTATCTTCTCTCCATTCTGGATGCCAATTTAGATTTGAAAAAGTAACAATGAGAACAAAATGTCTCAGCAAGAATTTCTAAATTTTCTCACTTACGCTTTGCTGCCACCTCTACCACCTAACTGTCTGTCTGCCTTCCCCGCTCTAATAGTAAGCCTGAAGAACTTACAACAGAAGGCATACCAGAGGCAAACAGCCGATTCTGCCTACAGGGCATTTAATTCCAACTGATGTCTTTGTGAATTTCACAGATCAAGAATATTGTTGGCAATATGGTTATCTGTACCAGGTTTTAAACTGGAATATTCTGAGTATGTATGAAATTGGTAAAATATGAGTACTTGTGTATAAGCCAAGTTTTCAGCACATTTTTAATGCAGCTTTTGTGGTAAAATTAGGTGCCTCAGCTGATATTTGGGTCAGCTTATACTCGAGTATATATGGTAAGGGTTTTTTTGAGCCCAGCTAAAAACAATTAATAGTAGATTTTAGTGGCTAAACTTTATACAAAAAAAGGATATGAACCTAGGATTGATGAACCTCAGCAAGTAGAACAGGGTTTCTGCAGGGTAGTGTCTGGGGGTGGGGGGTCGGGGGGTGTAAAAGAGCCGATGTCAAGGAGTTCAAGAAGGAAGACAATGTTTTGAAACTGATTGTGGTAGTAATTGTACAATAATGCTTAGAACGATATGATCTCTGTATTAGCTCATAACAAAATGGTTTTGGAATAATAAAAAATTTTTATATAATAGACGAGAGGGAAATATGCCTACCATATAACAAGCTCAGGAAGATCTCAGCAATTAGAGGCTCCAATATCCTGCACTTCCTGGTAGCCAGAAATTCAACTTAAAAGCTAAGCAGACCCAATTTTCTTAAAGTAGGGAGCAGCAATGCCTGCTAACAAAATTCCCCTTTACAATGGGATCAGTAGTACGAGCCACTTTGGTGAGCCACCCTCCCCAGCACAGTCAATTCTGTCCAGCCTCTGAGGCATCCCAGCCAGTCAAGCCTCTTACCTCACTGGCCTCTGTGGGCATGGTAGATATCAGATTGCATGGGCAGCGTGGTGCAGACATAATCAGTACTCAAGCTTCATTTTCTCCATTGTCTCACTCTATCCTGCTTTGTTCTTCAGTGCCCTCTATATAACCTACTTCCCATATAGCATATATGTACATACTAAAACACTAACAGAGGAGCAGGAATCCAACACACTAGGTGGTTTCATTTTTTATTTTCTTCAGGTTTTGTACTTTTATTCTAATACATTTATTATTTTTTTTCTAGTTCTCTTGCACTTCCTCTTCTGGTGCAAACCCACCCTTCATCCCGAGAATACGTATTTCCACCCAGGCAAAAACAGGCCGGTTGTAAGAGCCCCCAATAAAAGTATTTTTAAAAAAAACAAACAGGGGAAAGGGGAGGAGGAAGGGAAGGAGGGGCGGGGGGGAAGGAAAATGAGCCGATTCCGGGAACCCAAGAGGCAAGCGAATTTTGGGAATGATGAGGACAACAAATGTATAGATGTGCTTTACACAATTGATCTATGTATTGTGATGAATTGTATGAGCCCCAATAAATTGATTTTAAAAAAACAACAAAACAAACAAACAAACAGGCAGGCCTGCAGATTCTGGAAATCTCAAACAAAACCTTCCACTGAGGGCACAGACATGTACACATTCATGCTTGCCATAGCAACAGAATTCCAGCACCCACATCCAAGCAACAACAGAGTCTTTTGTCCCACTTTTACCTTACACATCTACCAATTATTTCTTTCTGCTCTCTTTCTTTTTTCCTAGTGAAATATATTCCCATGAAACCTATTAATTGTGATTACCTTTCTCAAAATAATTCAATTATTTTTTAAAATCTGTTGGCCTACATATCCAGACAGTTGATAATTGTTATCATTACATTTATTTTATTCTCTTTTCTTCCACCCCACTTTCCCCACATACAAATCTATTTCCCTTTTTCTCTATTTCACCATCGTATATTTTTCAGCTCCTACTAGACCTCTCCCACATCACTAGACTGAGCCAATCACCTAGCCCAGCAGTTCACACAACACTGATAACTAACTGTACCATGATGCCAAGGAAACAGCAGTTAACGACCATAACCCCCACCCCCTCAAATCATGAAAACAAGCACAAACAGCCAAAAATAACTCAAAACCAATAGAATACTTTTAAGAAGAGGTCCTGGAACTACCAGAAACAAAATTCAGAAGAAGAATATTTAGATATTTTAAAGAGATGTGAGAACAGTCATGAGAACAATAAAAGAAATTGAAAGAAACTTAAAAGGAATCCAGATGATAAACAATGAGATAATAGAACTGAGGAACATAGGTAAAAAAAAAAAAACCTTGAGGAATGGTTTGTAAGAAAAGGAAATTGAATCAGTGACCTTAAACAATCATTCTGATAATAATCGATAGCAAGCAATCAACAAAAAAGCAAAAGAAGCAGGAAGGGAAAAAAAGCATGAAAATGATGTGGGACACAACGTATGTCTCATTTGGATCCTGGATCAATAAAGCAAATGTTTTGAGAATGATGAGGGCAACGAATGTATAAGTGTGCTTTACACAACTGACGTATGTATGGATTGTGATAAGAGCTGTATAAGCCCCCAATAAAATGATTTTTTTTAAAGATCCTAGATCAAGAGAGAGAAAATAGTATGAGAAGCCTGGAAGAAACTTTCCCCAACATCACCAAAAAGTAGAAAATAACTATTCAAGCAGCTGAGACAACTCCCTAATAAGATAGATCCCAAAAGAAAATCCTTCAATTTCAAGGTAAAGGAGGGAATCCTGAGGGCAGCTAGAAAACACACACACACACACAGTCACCTACAAAGAAAAACCAATTAAGATAAACTCAGACTTTTCAGCAGAAACTATGCCAGCAAGAAGACAAATGGAGTGAGCTATGCAAAATTCAGAAAGAAAAAACTGCTAACCAAGAATCCTGTATCCAACAAAATTAATACCTCAAATATTTGGGAGAAATGTATTTGCAGACAAGGAAAAATTAACAAGACCAGCATTACAAAAATATTAACCATATCACTCTGGACAGAGAACCAATCACACCAGACAAACCTGAGAGCATCAGACAGGATAACACCTCCCAGAAACAAATACAACAAAAGCAATTCAAGACAACGCAGAAATAAAAGGGGAACAAAGACACCAGCAAAACCACTTAAAGTGTGTGTGTATGTGGGGGAACCAAACACAAAACGGTAGTAGCAAACACTCAGATATTAGTGGATTAAATGTACCAATCAAAAAACAGAGAGTAGCAGACTAGATCAGAAAACAGAACCCAATATATGTTGTCTATCATAAACACACTTTAAACTCAAAGACCAAAACAGACTAAAATTACAGAGTGGTGAAAATCTGCCAAGCCAATGACAACTATAAAAAAGGCAGGAGTGGCAACGTTAATCTCCAGTAGAATCAACCTCGAGGCAAAAAACATAAGAGACCAGAATGGACAATACAAAATGATTAAAGGAACAATATCCCAGGAACATTAACCTTAGTAAGTATATACATATCCGATCAAAGACCCTCAAAATTCTAAGTCAAATACAGCGTTTAAATCAGAGATTAACAGCTCAACAATATGAGATTTCAGCATACCACTCATCAGGAAAGAAAATAAAGAAGCAGAGAAGCTAAACAACACAATCAACCATCTTAGCCACCTCGAATTATACAGAGCTCTCCAACAAAACAGTATATATTCTGCTGTAGTGCACACAAGACAAACTGTAGAACAGTGGTTTTCAACCTTCCTAATGCCGCGACCCCTTTAACACAGTTCCTCATGTCGTGGTGACTCCCAACCATTAAATTATTTTCATTGCTACTTCATCACTGTTATTTTGCTACTGTTATGAATCGGGCAACCCCTGTGAAAAGGTCGTTTGACCACCCAAAGGGGTCATGACCCACAGATGGAGAACCGCTGCTCCAGAATAGATCACATAGGCCACAAAGCAAGCCTCAACAAATTCAAACACTTTTGAGATCCTACAATCCATTTTCTCTGATCACAATGGTATAAAAATGGAAATCAGCAATAGAAAGAACAGAAATATAAACATGGAGACTGAACAACAAACTACTTAAAAACGATTTGGGTAATAGATTAAAAAAAGGATGAAATTAATAACATTCTTGGAACAAATAAGAACAAGAACACACCATATCAAAACGTTTGGGGCACAGAAAAAGCAGCTATCAAAGGACAATTTATAGCAATCAACACACACATGAAAAAGGAGGAGAAATCCAAAATCAGCACCTTAACACAACATCTTCCACAATTAGGTCAAGGGCAACAACATGAACCCTCAAACAACTGAAGAAAATAAATCATAAGGATTAGAGGAGAATTGAGGTCATGATAGTGGGGGAGGAAGCATGAAGAACTAGAGGAAGGTTGTGTGGGGATTAACAACAATGTGCATGAGAAGAAAATGTTCTGAAATCGACTGTGATGGTTGTACACAGATTCTTAATATGAGTGAATGATTAAAATGTATGATTAGTGAAGCCAATAAAACTATTTAAAAAGGGATGTACTTCTGCTTAGCTCCTACTTGAAAAAAGCTTGCAAGAAAATTCTGGTAGCCTTTACTTCAATAAACAGCTAAATCTAAGGTTTTCATAAGCTTATCGCATATTTATTGCATATCATTATGGAGAGCCATTATTTAGAAAAAGCCTAGAATAAATCAAAATGAGCTGAAAAAATCAGAATTCCTAGATACAAAATTCTACTTAAATCGAATGGTTTTTTAATTCTTTCTGTAAGATAAGATAAAGACTACAATTATTTGGATTATGAGTTGATTAAAATGAAGCTACATTTGTTCTTTGATTCACTATTAAATCAAGAAATCAAAATCGTTTGTTCTGGATTAAAACACAAACATACATAATGGCATATGATTACCTCAGCCCATGTTATTCCTGTTCGATTAAGGACTAAAGCCTTCAGTGCAGAAAATGTTCCCATTAGAGTTGGTGAACTAGAGGGAAACTGAAGTTTATTTTCACTGTGTAGAAAAAGAAGAGACACTGTGTTTACTGCTTTGCAAGTAGATTGAACCCAAACAATCACTGAAAGCAACAATTTCCAGTATAATCTGAGGATTTGGGTTTCTTTTGACCTGAAAATGAGATTTTATTGAAAACAAAGTGAGCTAAACTACAAGTATTTTAAATATTTACATTATCTAACTTTAGGGGCACTAGGGTGCGAAGTGGCGACATAAAGATAATCCTGAAACATGAGATGCAGGCATTTTTAAGGTCAGCGTTTCCAGTTTCCCAAGATGTAGTACCTGACGTGGCAATATCAAGTCTCATTCTCAGGAGTCTTATTTGCTGGACAGTGAACTAGAATTTTACTTCTCTAAACACAAACCTTACGCTGTCAATAAAGATGAAATTATTGTCTTTTAAATTTGCTCTCAGTTACTTTATGGGTGGGAGGTGGGGGGAGGGGCACTGAAAACATTGTCTGTATCAAATTATATGCATTTTCACTCTACGTGGGAGTGCAACTAATTTAGACCCATGTGCTTGTTAAATTATATCTGTCATGTACAAATCACTTATAAATGTAAAGTTGGTTTATTGGTTCAAGTATGAAAGGGAACCCTGACTGAGTCCTGGAAAAATCAGATTGTGAGGTTAAAGCTAATCAAATATTGGAAACGGCTCAGAAAACTCTAATATTAGTAAAAATGTAGATTAGTGAAAAAGCCTTATCAAAACTGAATTAAACAGTATCCCACCAAACTATTTATTCCTAAAGCAATATAAATGCTGCTGCAGTTCAAACCAAAGCAAACTCATTGCCATCAAGTTAATTCCAATTCATAACAACCATTTAGGAGAGAGTAGAACTGCCTCTGTGGGTTTCTGAAACTGTAACTCTTTATAGGAGTAAAAAGCCTCACCTTTCTCCTGTGGAGCTGCTTTTAGGTTCAAACTCCTGAACATGTGGTTGATTAACAGCTCAACACTTAACCAGCTGTGCCACCAGGGCATCGTTGTTTTTAAGTGCCATCAAAACCGTTCCAATTCGGAGCATCCCTATGCACAACAGAATGAAACACTGCCCAGTCCTGAGTAATGCTCACGATTTTCCAGGCACTGATTTCTCCTGAAAACACATCCAAAGTACATTCCACAAAGTCTCACCATCGATCCTTGCTTCTAAGAAACAGTCTTCCAAGACAAATTTGTCTGTTCTTTTGGGAATCTAATGGTACTTTCAATATTCTTCACCAACATAATTCAAATGCATAAATTATTCTTCAGTCTTCCTTCTTCAATATCCAACTTTCACATAAACATGAGATGATTAAAAATGCCATGGATTGGGTCAGGTGTACTTCAGGTCTCAAAGTAACACCCTTAATTTTTAATACTTTAAAGAGGTCTTGTGCAGCAGATTTACCCAATTCAATGCATTGTCTGATCTCTTGACTGCTCCTTCTATGAGCTCCGATTGCGGCTTCAAGCAACGCAAAATCTTAGACAACTTCAATCATTTCTCTGTTTATCACGATGTTATCTACTGGTCCTGTGGTGAGGATTTTAGTTTTCTTGACATTGAGTTGTAATCCAAAATGAAGGTTGCTATGCTTGATTTTCATCAGTAAATGCTTCAAGTCCTCCTCACTTTAAGCAAGTAAGGTTGTGTCATCTCCATATGGCAGCTTGTTAATAAACCTTCCTCCAATCCTGATACCACATTCTTCTTCAAACACAGCCTCTCTATTTGCTTAGCTTTCAGGTAAACTAAGTATGGTGAAAAGATATAACCCTGACCCATACCTTTCTTGATTTTATACTATGCAGTATTCCCTGTGTGTTCACTTTTAATACCATCCCGTCTTTGGCATCCCAATAGGTATCACTTCCCCTAGAGGCTCTATCTTTTATGGCCAGGCATATAAGAAGTATGAAGATCTCAAATGTCTACATATTCCTTATTAAATAACTACCTAATATAACTATTTGGAAGAATAACCAATATACCCTTAAAGAATTAGCTTAAATAAATTCAACTAAACTTAAATATATTCAACTAAATGTCTGCTTCTCTTGAAATGTCTACCTATATCCCACCCATAATCCTCACCTCGATGTTCTCAATGGGCAAGGAGACATTAGAAACTTTGTAGTACATGACAATTCATTAACCAAGAGTTCATACCTGAGATTTAGAACATCCAGTTGTTTAAGCTGGTCAGCAATATGTATTACTTCATCCCATGAAGACAGCAAGTTTCTTGACAAATCTACTTTTCTAATATCTAAAGGTAACATGTTAAGAAAGAGTAATTTCAAACCATTCATAAAAGATGAAACAGACATCATTAACTCTTAATTCTAGTGTATGGGATCTTTATATCCTACATTCTGCTTCAACATGTTTCATGAGCATGTATTACTTTTATCTTTTTAAATCATTCATAAAATCAAAGTTCATTGTCAGATACTGTAAACTAGAGACAAACCAAAAACCAAACTCAAAGCCACCTAGTTGATTCTGATTCATAGGACAGAGTAGAATTCTCCCTATGGGTTTCCAAGACTGTAAATCTTTACAGATGTAGAAAGCCTTGTCTTTCTTCTGCAGAGCAATTGGTAGTTTCAAATTGCTGATCTAAGTGGTTATCAACCAAACACATAACTATTATACACCACCAGGGCTCCTTGTAGCTGTAGTCAAATGAATAAGGACCAAATGCCATCCTCTGAACCATCCTAGCTTTATCCAAGAAAAAGGAAAACAGAAAAAAGTGATGGAAATTTTGATTTTTTAAATTCCTAAGGTGGACCCATAGACCTTGCTCTTGGCTCTGTTTAGCAATCAAAAGCTTAATAAACACTGCCATTCATCACCAGGGAACTAAGATGCGCCTTTCTATTTGAGTTATAGCAATCTTCAAGTAAAATGTCATCTCCAAGAGAGAGAAGAGGAATTAGCTGGAACAAATGTTTAAAATTGCAAAGAAAAAAATTGAATTTAGAAAATCTCTTATAGACTAGAAACAGTTAATAGGATACCTACTGTCTAAGAAATAAGAGAAGGGAAAGCAGTGAGGCTGAAACAGAAGGTATTGGCACTAATGGGCAACAGTGACTGCTGGACAGGAGGAGGAGACATGCCACCCAGAAGGGGCACAGCTAAGCAGAGCCCTGGTGGGGAAGGGACTGGACCCACTGACAAGAGGATCATATGCAGTAGTTGGATGCGTTTGGAACTTCTTCAAATCATTTATACATTACACAAATAATGAATGAGGGCGAGGGAACAACAAAGTCTCATTTGGGGGAGAGAGACTCAAATGAGTGCATCTCTAGTATGTCAAACACCAACAACCGTCTAGCTAGGCAAGATGAGCATGCAGAAACAGAGTGCATGTGGGTGTATGAGATTATGTGGTCAGGGGAGATGATTTTCTTCAATAAGATGGCATATGAATAAAGAACTGTAAGAAATGAGGAAATGTCATTCCTCATTTCTGGGAAAGTACATTCCAGGCACAGGGAAACAAGAGCGAAGGTTCTGAGGTTAGAAAGGTTAAGGCTATAACAGAGTTCGAGATGGAAGGAGGGGCATATTAAAAATGAAGACAACAGAGTCACTGGGGACCAGGCCAGATCACACAAGGTTTTGCAGGCAGTAGAGATGGAAAAGTTATAGAGGGTTTTAAGCAAGAGTGATGTGACCTAACTTGTTTTAAAAGGTCACTTCCGTTGTGTGGAGCTGCAGAGTGCCGAGAAATACAACAAATCCACTGGCATAAATTCATAAACCAATTCTGACTCAAGACCCTATGCAGAGTTTTTCAACTCATTAAGGGAGCAGATAGCCTCATTTTCCTCCTGTGGAGTAACCAGTGGGTTCCTGCATTCTGCATCATTGCTTGTGACTGTGTGAGTCTGAAGAAGAACTTACGGACTAGTATTGGACTTAAGGATTTGAGTTGGACTGGACTGGGATGTTTTCTCGATACATAATTAATTCTTGATATAAAGCTCTCTCTCATACATATGAGTGTCACTGGATTTGTTTCTCTAGTCAACCTGGCCTAACACAGCCAGTTAGAACAGGAAATACTCCAGACACCTCTATGTCACTTTGTTCTTCACCACAATGTTTTCCAAACCCACTCCACACTCAGCAGTTAACCAGCAATTCTAACTCAAAGCTACCCAAACTACTATGACATTTGTGCAGCACTCTGGGACAAGTAAAGGGGACTGCACGTGGCAGACACAACCAATCAGAATCCTCTAGCAACCCCACATCCCAACAGGGATAAGGGGATCAAATCTCAGGCACTCTGGTGGGGAACAATGTACTCTGGGAAGTTAGAACATTTTGCTAAAGAGAAGCTATGTGAATCTTATTAGTTGGAATCTCTTCATTCATGCAAAATTAGTGATAAATAGCTATCTTTGATAAAAATCATTATTGCGATTGGGCAGAAGACCTTTTAAAATTATAGAAAGTCTATTTGATTTACTACCATTGAGGATTTAAAAATAACTTATCTCCTATATTTCATGGCAGTAAAAAAAACTGATAAGAGAAAGACAAGAGATTATAAACTCTTGAAAAGCCATTTTTAAGAACCTTTAACAATTGTGTTCAGTTACATGAAACCAAAACTTTACTAAAGAGAAGAGTTTATTTTTTTCCCTAACAAAAAGTTCACAAGAAAGCACTTCAGAGCTTTTGCAGTGGCCCCATAACACCTTCAAGTTTCTCAGGCTCCTTTTACTTCTGTGCTTTCTTGCTCTGGACTGGGTAACTTTCCTCAGGTCTACAAGATGGCTGCAACAGCCCTGGACATTCTGTCTACACTCAAGACAGTAAGGAAGCTGAACGCAACAAGCAACAGATCCCAACGTATGGCCTTTAAAAAGCCCTACCCTGCAACATCTATTCTTCATTTTGTTGGCCAGAGTAAGCCCCAATGTCACACCTGGATGCAATTTTGCTCTGTCCTGTAGGGCCCCTATGAGTCGGAATCAAGTCATTGGCAGTGCATTTGAGTTTGAGCTTAGGAAAAAGCCAGGAAGAACATGTATGGGGCAGGAAACTTGACTACTGCTAGGTAACTCTCAATGTTGAGCACAAGTATCAAATCCAAAACCAGATCACAGAAACAAAATACCAATCAAAAGGATACTAGGGCATATTTCAGCAATTCCTCCTTTTTCACCAGCAGAATTCACTGCACAGCTCCTCAGAGAAATTTCTTGCAACTTGCTCAACTGGCTGCATGAAAAACACAGAGATCACATTTATGAATAAACACACGTTATCCAGTTTTTAAAAAATTAAAATGCGTATCATAAATAGGAAAATGTAACCAAGATAATATAACAAAATACACACAACCACCACCCAATAACAGAGTATTATAAGCATTATAAATATAACTCAATTTTTTGTATCCTCTATATAAATACTTTCATATATTGGAGGCCTAATCCCCATTGCCTATGAATATGACCATATTTGAAATTGAGGTCTTTGTAGATGTATTAATTAAGAGGAGATCATACTGTATATTAGGGTTGCAATACAGTACATTACTTAATATGGCCCTTCTAGGTAACTCTCATGTAATGATTGGGTGTAACTATGCAAATAAGGGATAGAATCATGCAAATAAGTGTATACACTGTATTACTTGCTATGCCTCTACCAGTTATAGTCTATACAACCCCACCAAGTAATTGGGTGGGGATATGCAATTAAAGCATATGTGACTTTATAGGAATTAGTCAATTTTGCCATCCCACTAGATATACAATGAGTCACTGTAGGAAATGGGAACAGGGGATCTTATGTCCATCAAGAAAGAAGACCCAAGGGAAAAAAGAAAGAAGAGGCCAGCAGAACACGTTTTTGGACCCTGAGGTCCCTGTGTGCAGAAACTGTGGCAGCAAATGGAATGGAACCAAGAGCTCCGTGGCCCATGGAACAAACAGAGCTAAGTACTTCCAGGCAAGAGGCTGGCTTGCGGAATGGGGTGTCTTTGGGGGCATTTATTAATGCTAAAGGAGTTTTGTAACTTGTCAGAGATGCACCAGGGCCACAAGGCTAAGAGCTGACGACCAGAAAGCTGACGATCTCATAGGCATGGCTGAGAAGAGGCTATTCTGACCAGAGAACTACTTTACCCTGTACATTTCTGATCTTGAAATGTAATCTGCTAACTTCTTTAATAAACCTTCATCAGGAATATTTTCTGAGTTCTGTATGGCCATTGCAATAATTATTGAACCTGGCATAGAAAGCCAGTATGCTATGGGAGGGAAGCAGGTTAGAGGGTAGAAGCATGTCTGACCTCTGCCTCACAGGAATAGGCCTTTGGCAGTTGATGATGATGAAGGTGATTCTCTTTGATCCTGGTAAATTCAGAGATGTAATGTCCCTCTATCTAATTTTTTTACAGAGCCCTAATGAGTAATTGGTCAGTTTTACCATCTTGCTAGGCTTTGAAGAAAGGCAATCCCAGAGCAGAAAGGAAGCTCATCGCCATGAATTGGATTCAATGTCTTTGTACTAAGAACCTCCTAGACCCAGAGGATAAAGAACTATATAACACTGGAGTCAGAACAAAATGGCAAGAAATAACAAATGCGGCAGAGAACCAACAGCAGCAGAACCAAGCAATTGGCAAAGAGAGTGCAGTGGGCTTCTCAGCCCGTTCAGAAGCTGAGCACCTTTGGGTAAGAGGCTTCCTGACTCTGGCACTTGACAGAGCTAAGTTCACCAAACCATGCAGCAATGCAGCTGAGCACCTTTGGGAGGAAGCTTACTGGAAGAGTGGGCTACTTCTGTACACTTATTAAAAGAAATAAAGAGTTTTGTAGATGTAGGGCAGAGCCTGAATTGGCCCAAGGGAGTTGAGGGATTGAGGGCCAGGGAGAGGCTTGTTTGTGTGCAGCATCTCTTCACTCAAGTAACATTGGTCATAAAGTGCTGTCTTTTGGATAAATTATGAACTAAGAAGCTGTCCTGACTGAAAAGCTGTGTCCTCAGTTGTTCCAAAACCTACACTGTAACCTGTTACTTCTCTAAAAAAACAAAACAAATAAATAAGGGTGAGTATTGACTGTGAGTACTGTGTAGTCACTGCAATGAATTATCAACCCCAATAGAGAAATAGAGTGCCATGGAAAGGAGGGCTACTGTCAGAATTGGGGGGTGAGGGTGGGGGGGAGATCCGAGAGAAGTTTGTCAGACCTCCACTTCAAAAGTCAGCTTTGAGCTAATGCTGATGGTGAGTCTCTCTCCTCTCAGGAAGTTAGAAGTGTTCAGACGGCCCCTTCTACAGGGTGAACCGTATGACTGGGTTCCTTACAAAAGGAAGGGAACATATGGTGACACAGAAGAAAGAAGAAGAGGTGAAAAGGGAAGCAGATATAAAAGCAATGTGGTTACAAAGTAAGAAAGGCCAAAGATTGCCATGAACCACTAGAAGTTAGGAAAATGCAAGGAAGGAAGAATTCTTTCCTAGAGCCTTCAAAGAGAACATGGCCTATTAACATGGTTTGGGGCTTCTAGTTCAGAAATGTGATACAATAAATGTATTTTGTTTAATGTTACCCAATATATTCAGCAGACAATCATTATACTACATTTTTTGTTGTTGTTGTTGTTGTTAGGGACCAGTCGCCTAAGTGTCAACTCATAGCCACTTTATATAGAAGGGATCGGAACATCACCTGGTCCAGTACTATCCTCACAATTGTTCTTACATTTGAAGTTATTGTTGTAGGATTGTGTCAATTTATCTTGTCAATGGTCTTCTTTGTTTTTGCTGCCCCTCTATTTTACCACCTGTCCTTTTCCATGGACACTTAGTACTTACTTAATCTTCAGCATTTAAGACATACTCTATTTATTTACATATCCCTAAACAAGTAGAGCTGGTGGTGCGGTGAGAGAAGCATTGGGTAGTGCGGTAGTTATATAATCATTTGTCAATTTGAGGATTAAGAGTGAAGGGGCAGAGGCAAAGGACATTTATAGAGGTCTAAATACAGGCATGTATATATGTAAATACATTTATATATAATGATAGGGGAATAGATCTACATACATATATTTATTTATAAAGTATTATGGCAGCAGATGGACATTGGGCCTCCATTCAAGTACTCCCTCAACACAAGAACAGTTTGTTCTACTATCACAGCACTCTGTGATGTTCACCTTCCCAGACATGATCACTGAAAACAAAATGGGTATATAAACAAATGTGGTGAAGAAAGCTGATGGTGCCTGGCTATCAAAAGACATAGCATTTGGGTTCTTAAAGACTTGAAGATAAACAAGCAGCCATCTAGCTGAGAAGCAACAAAGCCCACATGGAAGAAGCACACCGGCCTGTGTGATCATGAGGTGTTGATGGCATCGGGTATATGGCATGAAAGACACAAAACAAACAAACAAAAAATCTTATCAATGGGAATGAGAGGGAGGGCAAAGTGGAGACCCAAAGCCCACCAGTAGTCAACTGGAGACCCCCTGTCAGAAGAGCCACAAGGAAGAGACAAGCCAGACAGGGTGCAGTATAGCACTTATGAAACATAACCTTACTCTAGTTCTTTAATGCTTCCCCCTCACCCCACTATCATGACCCCAATTCTATCTTACAAATCTGGCTAGACCAGAACATGTATACTAGTACACATAAGAGCTCACAGAACAGGAAATCCAGAACAGAAACCCACCCCCAGGGCCAATAAGGGGAGCAGCGATACTAGGAGGGTAATGGAATGGGGGGGTGTCCAATCACAATAATTGATGTATGCCCCCCACCCCAGTGGAACGGGCAGCAGAAAAGTAGGTGAAAGGAAACAGCAGTCACGATAAGACATGGAAAAAAATAATAATAATTTCTAAATGATCAAGGGGACATGTAGGAGGGAGGAAAAATAAAAAATGGGGAGTTGATAACAAGGGCTCAAGTAGAAAGAAAATGTGTTGAAAACAATGATGACAACATATGTACAGATGTGTTTGACAGAATGAATATATACATGGATTGTGATAAGAGTTTAAGAGCCCCAATAAAATAAAATAATTTTTTTAAAGAGTGAAGGGGTAGAATCTAGCCTATCAATCAGATGATAGCCAATGATGCCTCTGTGTAGGCATGGCTTCTCCTGAGGATTCTGGGAACTCTTGTATTCCTCCCTGGAGGCGGGAGACACTCTCTCTCTGCTGACTTCCTGCAAGACATCCCTGAAGAGAAGCCATATGAACCTACCCTGATGCAACCCTGGGATCCAGAGAAACACGTGGAGCCCCCTGTCAGCGCTGAGATGCTTACAACGCCACTGGATCCACAAGACTTCCCACCCACTGGCCTGTGATTTTCCTGGTTTCAGTATCACTGCATGTGTTTCATGGGTCTGAGCAGGACTTTATATATTGGTATCAGACATATGGGCTGGTATCTAACTTGTGGACTTGATCTGGGCTGTTTCCACAATATTCAATTGGTATTGTATATGGGCCTCTTTCTTATACACATATGAGTGTCTATGAATTTGTTTTTCTACTCAACCCAGACTAACAGAGGTTCAGATGGTTTAAACCCACCAGTGCTCTGCAGGAGAAAGATGGGGCTATTGCCTTCAATAAAGATTTACAGCCTAGGAAACCCTACATTGGGTTGCTATGTGTTAGAATTGACTCTATAAGCAGGGGGTTTGGTTTTGAGGGGATTTTTGTTGTTGCTGTGCTTTAAACAAATATAGTGCTTATATATTTACATATTATGATCTTGATATAAATGTTATCCTTTTTTATATAACCTCTTATATTACTTTTATTTTCTCAATAGTAAACTATTCAGCTCTGAGATTAAGCTATGGTGCCACATGTAGCTCTAATTTATTCACTCCTGTTGACATTCAGATTGTTCCCAACAGTGCTGAAATAATAAACAATACTCAAGAACACTTCTTGTACTAACATGGAAAAATATTTTCAGGAACATCCTAGTGAATGTATTTCTTTAGTTTAATAGATAATCTCACCAGCCATTTAAGTATAAACAATCCATTGTTTCTTGTCTTTAAAAGATACAATGCGCTACACAGTCTAAGAACATAGAATCTGGATCAGATTGCTTGCACTGAAATCTCCATCCCACCTCTTCCTTTGGTTTTGGACAAGTTAATTAACATAACATCTCTGTATCTCAGTGGCCTCATCTTTAATATGTTACAATATGATGAGTATTTAAGAAG